AGTCAACCGCCAGAGCGCAAACTCCCGGAAGTTCAGGCTCAACCCCTTCCTCCCCCGCAGCGCACTTCAACGACCTAACGGTTCTGGCCCTCGTGTTAACGACGCCACACCGGGCGCGTCAACTAAGCTCATTTAGTGTATTGCGTACTTTATCCGGGAGGTGGCAGAGAGGTCCAGCGGCGACCTACTGCCAGCTAGGGGCGTTTTCCCCAACCAGGTATCTCCCACCAGCGGGGAACCGCCCCAGCCGGGACAACCTCTAAGCTTCCGACATGTGTGGTAGTGTTGTGCATGTTAGTTTATGTAAGTAAGGGATGAGGATAGGAAATGGATAAGGAAGGGTGGATTGCGTGCGGTTCGTGGTTCGTTTGTTCTGATACAGTTCCGGCATTCACCTGGTGTTGATCGGAAAAACATAGAAAAACTACCCATTAGAGTAGAATTCTCCTCCAAACAGAGGCTGCATTTGACATAGCTGTGAAACTGCCAAGTGTCAAAAATCCACCCGCCGGCGGGGCTCGAACCCTAGGATTTGGAAGCTCCAAGGATTCCACGGACAAATGTTCTCAAAATGCAATCCACATTATTTCTTTCAATTTCTTGTAAGAATGGAGTAAACTACACTTATGAAGACGGTTTCCCATCTGATTTTCACAGTTAACACTGACTTTTCAAAAATTGCCAAAATTTCAAATTATTTGGATCCCTTCAACTACATTATTGAAGATATTGCTTTCTTCTTCAAACGAACTTTTGCTCAACTATTAGTCATTAAATTAATGTCAAGTACTACACTTTTTGAAAGTAATGGAAGATTCGCGCAATTTTGACTGAAATAAGGGCAATATTAAAAAAAATTGAAAACAATATTTCAAAAAATCTGAATGAAGTTTCTCAAGAAATTTATAGTTGTCTGTGAAAATGAGCTGAATGTTCCGTATTTTCAGGAATGCTGAAACGACATTGTCTCAAAAACGACTTCAAACTTTTCTGGCGGGGCGGTTCCCCGCTGGCGGAGATACCTGTTTGTGGAAAATCCCGCTAGCCCACGTTTCACCGGGGAAGAACTCCGCCATCTCCCGAGCAAAAATACTTCACTACACTTACGGGACTAATTGTCTTAGCAGTTGACGCGCCCGGAATTATTAATAATAAATCAAAAATTTGAATCGAGTATTTGCGAATACGGAGCCGAGGATAAGCGAGTAGCACAGAACAAAAACTTTCTGAGGTCGACAACGACAAGAGTCTCGTGAAGGAATTCTCGGAGCCTGAAGGATGGGCAGATCATGGAGAGCCTGGGGAGAGAGTGCTTGAGAATTCGGAGTGCGTCGCCCGGCCGCGGTCGCTGCTTCAAGAGTCCCCTCCTACCCCAACTCGTCCTTGGCGCATGAATATCACAAGGTATACACCGAGAAAAATACTTTTTACAAGACAAGAGATTCTTGCTCTATGCATAAGCAGGAAGTTAGATAAAAAAAAACTGCCTAAACAGGCATTCACAGGCACAAACAGGTTTGCTGTGGCAGCGTGGACGTCACTTAATCAGGAATCAGTAATATTTCTCTGCTTTAATAAGATACGTTCGTCTCAACTACGTTTGGAAGTTTTAGATTTGTTTCAACCTTTCTAGAAAATTAAAGCTAAACATTTTCTGATAAATGCAGTAATTTTGCGGATAATTTCATTTATAAATAGAAACAGTGAATCATTTTCAACAATTTTGAAAATGAATTTTTGCCTGTGTGTAGAGTCGAGAGACAAGGATCACTGGGTGATTGGATTGCTCATGTCAGATCACATGTCGGAAGGCAGCAACAATTCGGCTATACTGAGCAGAGAAGAGCAACTAAGTGTAAGCAAGTTGTAAGCGACTAAGTGTATATATTTTTAAGAAATGGTTTGAAAGGTATAGAGAGATGAATGTAATGTGACGGAAGAATAAAAGTACAAAAAAATATTGCGAAATGGTTGGAAGAGGGCGGGTTTCTCAGCGCGAGGCTGGATGTAGTGAGGTACGGGACTAGTGAGGTGGGCATTCGGACGCAGGAAGAGGGAGGAGAGGAATAGAGTGATGAACGACAAAAGATCATGATTTGCCATTGGAGTGGTGGGTGAGAGGGAAACGAGGATCGACTGCACACTTCGTCTGAAACGTCGAGGAGCAGGGGAGGCTGGTTGGGAGGGGGAAGTGCAGTGAGAGAACAGAGGGCAGTGAAGTGGGGGAGTAGAGTCATGGGGAGGGGGGGACGATTCGAGGCGGTCCGAGACGCTGGGTGGCTGGTCTTGGCTGGACGAGGCTGGGAGGGAAATGGAGGGGGAGATGAGGTGGGAGGAGTGGTTGGGATTGGTCGGGGCTGAGTGGAGGTGGGTTGGATAGGCGCGGCGAGGAGTGGTCGGGGCCGGTCGGAGTCTGTCGTGTATTTTTTGATTGATTAGTGATTCCAGGCACGTGAACTACTATGATCGTTAGCCCTGTAGGTTCAGTACACTTTTTTCTACGAGGGGACTCACCCTTCGCTGGAAGTTGGGAGGCGGCGCTGACCTACCGTCGGCTAGCGGAGTTTTCCCCAATCAGGTATCTCCCGCCAGCAGAGAACCACCTCAGCCGGTAGAAGCTCTAAGCTCCCGACCGGACTCCTGGCATGTTTGTGCATATTGTGGAAAGTGTGTGTAAGGAGGGGGTAGCGATAAGTCAAGAAAGAGGAAGAACAGATCGTGCGCGGTTCATAGCCCGTTGGCCAGGCCACTGCTCCGTCATCAGTTTAGTGTTGATCGAAGAAACTGCGAAAAACTACCGTACAGAACAGCCGTCAGATAGAATTCTCCGCCAGACAGCGGCTGAATTGGACGTAGGTATGTACGTAGTGTCGGAAATCCTGCCACCGTCGGGGCTCAAACCCTAGGACTTCCCTGTCAGAGGCACTGCCGTAACGTCAGTTTAGATTTAGATTTATTTTGTCAATAAACAGTCAAAACTGTATGTGACGTAGGGGGCAGAAGATTATCAGCGCACGTTTTTCGAGTTCCAGAATCCAGAATCATTTGACGCCCTGAGCCACCTCTCCACGTCGGGGCCGGTCGGGGCGGGTGGAGGGATGAGGGTCGCAGAAGGGCGGAGCGGAGGGCAAGGGCGAGGGCGAGGGCGAGGGCGGGGGCGAGGGCGAGGGCGAGGGCGAGGGCGAGGGCGCGTGGGCTCACCCGCGTGCGCGCGGCCGGAGCGCGAGCGCTGCAGCTCGCTGTGGCTGTGGCAGGCGCCC